GAGAATCCACCTTAGCCTCAGAGGTAGCCAACTGCCTCTTATACGCATCCTTGGCTTCGGAAGCTATCTTCAGATTGCTAGAGGCAGTGGTGGCTCTCTTCTCTGCATTGTCAAGATCCTTTTCCAGCTTCTTGATGGAGAGGGATTGGGCTTCAGCAGTGGCACAGAGGGCCATGGTGTGGTATAGACTCTGTATAACAGAGGAACAAATATGAGCATAAATGGAAACATAAGCAAGCAAGAGTAATATAATTCTGAAGGAGCAATGCGAACCTCTATGGCCCGGACCGGGGCAGAGGGGAGTAATTGTTCCAACCCCATTTGGCTGATGGCTTCCTCGTCCTTTGGGAGCCACATCCCTCGAGCCACCGCCAGTGCAACTGAAGGGTCTGTGATCACAGAATCCCCTGAGTGCAGGACTGACTTGTCAGCCTTGGTGAAGGAAGGAGTCCAAGGAGCCCCAGTCTCAGCCAGAACAAAGGCCCTGACTTCATCTTCAGGTTCGGCCTCTCCAGCCTTTTTCCCTCTGTTTTTAAAAGGGACCTTGCCTTTGCCAGAGGATGGGGGGTTGAGGCGAGATTTCTTCATTGGTGGTTCCTCAGCCTCCACCTCACCCTCAGTAGATCTAATAACGACCAAGGGTTGGGCATCTTCGGCTTTCTTTTTAAAAGCCTCAGCCCTCCGTATCTCCTCCTCAGTCATAGGGAAACTGTCAAAGGATGGTAGAGACAGATCCATGAGGTCTGCAGCAACAGCACTGGAGGCAATATCCTTGAGGTTTGAAGAAGTTAGCAGGTCCTCGATAGGCGAGGGGTCACTCCAAACTCGTTCCTCAAGAAAAGAAAGTCTGTTCCTTGCTACGGAGGATGGGAATGTAGCTGAAAAAACACCAAGAAACTCATAAGTACGGCGAACCATTAAGACTTGGCAAGGAAAACAGCTAGAACACTTGGTATGAAGGGAGGTTAAGTATTCTATACCTAATTTCCCGAACTTGCGCGGGATGGGGAGCGTAATTGATTGGGGCACGAACCATTTTCCTTTAACTATAACCATCCTTTCTTTCTACTTCTTCTCGGATGAAGGAAGGTTCGTGCATATCCTCTGATGAAGGGGAGAGGTAAAAAAGAAGCGACCAGGCTCGGTCCCATGCTTAGATATATTGTAAGTAAGCAGAAGGTCGGCAAAGGTCAAATCCAGAGCCTCTAATTTCCGGCTCACCAACAGTGCCGAAAGGATGCGAAAGAAATTAGGATTTACCTGAAGGAGGGCAAGACCTAACTTGTTGAAAACTAAATGATAGAAGGGATGAAGAGGGAACCGGAGGGTGTTAAGATGTCCTACCGAAAGAAGCAATTCACTCTCTTCAATTCCCTCGCCGGAGGTAAAATCAGCACCCTCGGGATATTCTGCAATTTCTACTCCCTCAGGAATATCAAATTCTTCCATTACCGAAGCAATAGAGAACTTGATGCGGCGAATAGAGATGATTGTTTTCCTCTCTTCATGAGTAAGAACATAATCAGAGCCTGAGGTGGATGTCTCGGCTGGAAGGGGGGAAGTACCTAATTGATTCAACGAAAGACGATCTGTAGAAACCCTAGGAAGGGGAGCCCTAATGCGAACGGGGGAAGATGAAGGTGTGGATTCAGAATCCCCAATGTCTATACGTTCGGGAGTAGATGAAGTACTCATAATGAAAGATTGAAGAGAAAGATGCGAAAAAAACTAACCTGACAAAGCGATGGAATGAAGAACGCAGAAGTGCAGCAAGGGCGAATGTAACTCTTGCAAAATCTTGTATGACGGAGTAATAATGAAAGACCTCGAACCGTTTCTGAAGCAAAGTAAAAAACCGGTTTCAATTCCCTCTTTAATAGGAGCCGTCACTCAATTAAAAATGAAATTTGGGGTAAAGTGTGGAGGCAAAAAAACTCCTTCCAATAAAAAACGCACGTGTCATCACTACACATATCTACATTCCAAGGACATATAAGGCCCATCATGCTCAAGCCCAAATTGAGGGTATTTATAGCCCAAGACCATTGTTATTTGTCCTCCAACCTCCATCAAGGCCGAATCAAGAGGTCATCAGCCCAACTTGTTAATATTTAACATCCGGTCCGTTACTTAAGCTCAGCCGGATCAAAGTATGTTCAGCCCAATTATTCAAGAATGCACACGTCCTACCAGTTGAAGGATTTACCGTAGAAGGAAAATTCTGAGATAGGAAGTTCTGTACAAGGCAAGTTCTATGTATGGAAAATTAGACAATGGAAAGAACTCTATTAGTAAAAAATGTTTATATAGAAAGAATTGGAGGGCAAGTAACGCGAGTCCTACTATAATTTTACAATTTTTTGTATATAAATAGAGGTTTAGACCTCCAATAAAGGGATCAAGCAATTCTACGCTTCTCTATACATTGTTCTTATTTATTCTTATTGTTTTTTGAGTGAGTTGTTTTATTTTTCTCAATCATTATTGGTTGAGCGAAATTTTGCACCTACAATACGGGTTTGGATTAACCTTAAACAAGGTCGGGTCATAAATGAATTGATACGATTAACCTCTTTATTTAATCGTGTCGGGTTAGGTTGAGAAGTTCAACCCGCGTAACCCGTTTATGACCCGTTTAACTCAATATGTTATAATTGTGAATATGACTTATCTAATATGTTACCTATTTAAACCCAATTACTATGAATAGTTAAGTCATTTCAATATAAACCTTATCTATGCCTTATGATTTTTCTTTTTATTTTAAATATTTGGGTTAATTGTGACAATTTATTTCTGTTATTTATTATTTAATTAAATATTAAAAGTCTCGTTTTGAAAAATATGTTATTAACGGGTTAACATCTTTACCTGTTTATTAAATGAGTTGGGTTAATATGGATTGTTTTTGACACGATTATTAAATGGGTTGTGTTTGGATTTACCTATTTAGTATAATACCCTTACATTGACACGACACGATATCCACAAATAAGAATTGCCACCCCTAATTACCTATATGTATAAAAAATTATTTAAGGTTTATGAATATTTTTGAAAGAAATAAATTTCAGGAGATACAAAGTAATATTTTACAAATAATATGTCTAAACATATTAAAAAAAATTTAATGGACCAGCCTCGGTAAGGGGGATCGTCCCCCTCCAACAATAAGAATTAAAGAAAAACAAACCAAACCAACAAAAAGGCTTTAAGTTGGCTAAAGGACCAGAATATGTGCTATGATATTTTGAATGAATTTTGGTACAAACATATTACTTATAGGTGATATACAATTCAAAAAAATAAAAATTATTTACATTAAAAAAGGTAAATTTAAAGAAACAAAATTAGAGAAGGAAATCTATAATATTAAATAAATAAATAAGTTTTTAATATTATATATTTCTTTCTATAATTAGATTTCTCTTTATTGAATTAAATTAAATAAATAAGTTTTTTAATATTATATTTTTCATTCTCTAATTAGATTTTATTTTATTAAATTAAACAAATAAGTTTTTTAATATTATGCTTAAGTTTTCTAATAATACCAACGGTGACCTAGCGGTATCAGACTCTTATCTTCCAGAAAAGCCATGGTAGAAAGAATTATTATTTTTTTGTTGTCATAATTATGACCATAAATTCAACTGTAATTTGTATATATTGATTACTATTCATATATTGAATTAAATTCACAAATAATTGCTTAAGTTTTCTAATATTACTAACGGTGACCTAGCGGTATCAGACCCTTATCTTCCAGAAAAGCCATGGTAGAAAGAATTATTATTTTTTTGTTGTCATAATTATGACCATAAATTCAACTGTAATTTGTATATATTGATTACTATTCATATATTGAATTAAATTCACAAATAATTGCCTATGTTTTTTTTTCCTTGAATTTTATAATTTTAATTTGATTAATTAGTCTTGTTTTGAAGATAAGGGATATTATATTGGAATTCTCATTATGCATTTGAATATATGAGGTGCTATCACCAATTGTTGACTCTTCTCCTATTGGGATATTATTATTGATAATATTCGTTTATATTATTTCCATCAATAATATTTAGCAGAAAAATATATCTAACTTTAGATTATATATATATAATATTCGGTCAAACAAAATATATAAAGAAAGTACAATATACAAAGGGTGGGGTGAGCCCAAATGAAATATACAAGCCACGATCAATAGAAACAGGCAACCCCTACCAACCCAAGGCACCCACAGGCCCAAGGCTATTAGCCCAAGTCCCTTGCATTAAATAGATACAATAATATGAAACTTACTCGATATTATTATGTTTTATATAAAAAACTTTTATGGTTTTTAATTATTTCTTCTTTTGTTATTTCCATCTAATTAAATCGAGGTGAAAATTTTGAAGAAGTGATTTTTTTTTTAACCCGATAAAGAATCAAAATTATTTAAGCTTCGGAAGTGTCTGTAGAAGACTTGGCATAATTCGACTCGATTAATTTGAATAGGACAATTCTTTGAGAATTGGGTAATATCATTTGTTGAATTTTAATTGCTTAACTTTTTATTTATTTATGAAACTAAGAAAGTTACATTTAATTATAGTGTGAGAGAATTGTTTGCTAAGGTAAGGTAAAATTAATTTCTCCCTTTGCCTCAATTTTTATTTCCTACCAATTTTCCCAAAATAAAATTGACATTAACATTCAAAATTTATTTCTTCTCAATCTAAAAAAGAAATGATATTGAGATTAAGTTATTCTTATTTTTCTCTTGAGCATAATATCTTTGAGAAAATAAAAAAGGAAAAACTGCTATTGAGATTGTTATTCTTAGATTGAATGACCCAGTTGAACAAAGATTTATGGAAGTACAATGATATCATATCAGTAGAGTTGATAATAAAAGAATGGTCAGTATATATTCTGTATTATCTCAATTTGCTTCAACAACATAGTAATTGGACACCTTCAAATTTCCAAGTCTAGGTCTTGTTTCTGATCTTCTATGTCACACTGATCTCTTCTTGTTCTTGTTCTTGTTCCACTGCAGAAGTCTTGCTTTCTTTCTCAACTGATTCTAGTGCTTTCTTAGCCTTGGCCTCTTCATTTTCGTTTCTCTTGTGACGAAGGAAATCAATTAAACCACGAAGTGTTGCAGTGGGTTCATCACTCTTGAGTAGCTGCTCGCCTACTTCGGCTGGGGTGACCTCTATGGATTGAATTAGGGCTTCAATCTCCCCGAAAAGCTCATGCTCCTTAATGCCAAGGTAATTACCAGCAAGAAGCTTGAAGCCACAAGGAGTGCAATACGACATGTGGACGTGAACGTCCATCCGACCCGGTCGCAACAATGCAGGATCCAGTTTGTCTTTGTGATTCGTCGTGAAAATTACGATCCTCTCTTCGCTGCAAGTCGACCACAGACCATCAATGCAATTCAGCACTCCCGACAATGTCACCTGCATGTAGTAGGAGTCATTACAAAATTTGTGATTGAAAATCAGTTAGTACCAAGTAGCTACGAGGATCAGCTACTATATTACTTTCATATACGATAAGTAAATAAATCTTGCTTTGCGTGAGTGTAGCTATTTCGAGGAAGTTCTAATCACTTTTTGTGTTTAGAGTTTTCAAAATATATTGTTATGCAAGTGTCGACATCTAAACTCTCAAAAGCCCAAATAATGCCGACTCAGTTTTGAGCATTTCATAGGGGGAATAATTATAAAAAAATAAAATATTATTGATTTTTTTATTTTATTTTTTTTATTTAAAAAAACTGACTTATAAAGGGCTCATAATTTCACAAAAGGGGTTTTTTATAATAGTTTGAGAATAGAAGAAACAAACGAGCACAAAAGAACCGACCTTGTCATCTTCATCCTCGGATTTACGTTTAGTCTTCTTCTCTGAATCTTCAGGCCCACCAATCCTATCTTGCAACTCAATGGTGCAGTCAATGTCCTCCACCACAAGAATGGACCGATTCGCGGTCCCCAGCAGCAACAGCCGCAACTCTGAATCGAACTGCAACTCCGACAACTCCAAGTCATAAACGTCAAACTTCAAGTAATTCGCCATGGCCGCGATCAAGCTCGACTTCCCCGTCCCGGGCGGTCCGTACAACAAGTAACCTCTCTTCCAAGCCTTGCCAATCTTCCTATACAGTTCCCTCCTCTGCACGAACCTCTCCAAATCCTCCAAAACCATCTCCTTCATCTCCTCCTCCATCGCTAGCGTGTCGAATGTGGCCGGATGGTCGAGATTGATCGGAGTCCACGCGTCAACCGGGCTCTTCCCGTACAAGTTGCAGTGGTTGATCGTGAAGATCTTCAGCGTCCTCTCCTCTTCCTTCCTCGACTTCGCTTCATTCAACACGTAAGGCAAGTAAGAACCAAGAACCTTCTCTTTCAGTTCCTTGCAAAAAGACAATTCGAGTGACCGGAGCTCGGACGGCAGAATCGATCTCGACGACTTCGTGTCTCTGTGGTGGGTGCTGGGCTGTACATATTTGCAGGACAATACCCATTTAAATTTGTGGCCGTCGAACACATCTATTACCTCTTCACCAGGTTCAACAGTGACGCTGATGTTGTTTTCTTTCTCGGGTTTGGAGATTTTGAGGCGGTCAACGTTGGGGGAGATTTTGGTGCCCAAGTACACCTCTGCGGCCTCATAGAGTTGGTTGTAGATGAGGCCGTCGAATTCGTAGATGACCAATGTTAATTCGTCGACGGAGAAGTATTTGAGCAAGTTTCGGACGCGGAGGTTGAGGTAGTCTTGGACTTCCGGTGGCATGAAGTCTTGGGCGACGGTGCGGACCACCATGGCCGTGGCAGCCAGAGAGCCTATGGTGGTTAGAACCGCCTTGGCTTTGGATAATTTGGATTTGGAGGACATGTTTGGAGTTTGTGAAAGGAATCTTTGAGAGAGCTAGGTATTGTGTTTGATGAAGAAATAGCGTGTTATTATAAAAGGGCCAAATCCTGTTTTAGAAAGGAGTTGATTAGAAACAATTTCCAACTTGGAACAGACAAACACTAAATTTTCATTTTTTTTTTCCGTCTCCTATCAAGACTCAACTTTTTACCTTCTATTTTTTAATCTTCTATTTTATTTTAGGAAATATTTTAGGTAATAGAGAAATTAGGAAATACTCGAAACCAGCCCAAACTAACAGCAGAAAAATTGTTTCAAATTTGGTCCAAATTGGCTTCCAAAGAGTATAAGAGCTTAGGGCCTGTTTGAAGGCCCATATCTGTTATTGTTTTCATGTTTTGGTTTCATTTTTGGGCCAATATCATGTTTGGAGTGAGCTGATGTGATATTGAACAGTGTAAAAACATTATGAGATTTGGGCCAAAACCCATATCAAAGAATTGTTGATATTGGGTGATATGGTATACTGTAGCGGCCATATCAACCTAAACCAAAACCATATCAACCCTCGTTTAACTGTAGCGGTGATATCAAGTTTAAAAAATCACATATCAGAAAACCTACCATTTTTCATCGTCATTTTCTCTCTCATCACGCAGCTCCTTTGCAGGCGATTTCATGGGCGACAAGTATTCGACATCCTTTTCCTTACACCTTCGTAGCTAGTTAGATCTATCTCAACCTTCCTTACATCGTCGTTGCTAGGATACAAATCGATCAACCCTCCCGTACTTGGTTTTCAGCTCAATCCTCTCTCTGTTATGTATTTCTGTGACCCGAATCTGAAACCCTAGAGTTGTTCGCAACCACAGATCGACGCTCTTTCAGGTGCTCTTTCCCTCTCTCTCTCTCTCTATATATATATATACAGTAGCAAAATCCAAATTCTCGATTCTCAGATCTATGTCTGTTGTATGATTTGTCTCTGTTTTCGCGCATCTCTTTGATGCGATTTTGGGGTTTCAACTTTAACCCTTCTCAGTTCATCAGTCGTTATGCGAGGTAGTTCGAGGCTTTTGTATACTCTTATATCGATGTACACATTTTTGTATGCGATTTTGGGGTTTCAAATTATTGAAGGAACATTTGGAGAAATCTGGATGCAGTATTGGGGATAAGTTCATCAAGGCCGTTCATTGTGACAAGCATATCAGTGGTGGTTACGTCCGGGCCGAGGGGGTAATGATTCTCTCTGTTATACTCTTATATTGATGTACACATTTCTGTTCAACTGAACAAATAAATTTCAATGTCAAAGACTCATTTGTAGGTGTGAATTTAATCTTTCAGTATAGGTTTCAAATACTTATCAAAAACCAAGCTCAAATTATGACCCCAGTCACTTCTTAGTGATTACAAGTTGTTTCTGATTACATCATGACGATTTTAAAGTTTTTGTGCCTGAAACTTATTTGATCCAAAGACCTAAATTGAAAGATTAATTTTGGAAAGCACAAATCTTGTAGTGAATTATTAATTAATTGTTCATCCACTCTCCAAATTTTGTGGTACCTTTGAAACTCACACATTTAAATTTAGGCCAAAGTATAACTTTTCAAATTTCATCTGAATTTTCATGTGTGATAAAAGTTGCTTAACCAAATACATACTTCAATATGTTAAAGGTGGAGTCTAAATAATGAAATAATACTATCTTTCTGCTTATTCCCTTGAACCTGGTGGTTTAGTGTGTGAATGATCACTTACAATGTCAATGAGATATGGTTGGCACTGGAGCTGAATTATCGTCAAGTATAACTATCTTTTGATTGAACAATTTTGGTAAACTTTTGGCACCTTTTCTTTCTAAAGTCATCTTGATTGATCAAGTTATCTTTTATCAATTATCAAGATCGATAGTAAAATTTGTTCTCTTTTAAAAATCCTTTTTCTTTTTTCTTTTTTCTTTTTCAATTTTGTGTGTGCCTTATTAGAGTGTTTTGTACTGATCTGTGTTGTCTTCTTTTTTGTAACACCCCCACATTTTTCACGCATAAGTTGATCAGGCTTATACACGAAAAACGAGGGATATCAAAACAATTGGCAATATACAAGCATGGAATACAAAATGATGGAATTAAAAGAATTTAGACAGGAAAGAAACATTAAATAATACAACATCCATCCATCCTTTATTTAATACAGTACTTCATTACAACTTGGAAATCCTACGTCAGGGATCCCTAAATATAACCCTGAGAGTTCAACGTCAAAAGTAAATAAAAACTGAAACTGAAATACTACATAAAACTTCTACCCTGCACTGGATCGTAGGAGTAGATGAGTTCGGATGATGGTCCCACACTGCTAACCTCAGCCTTGAAACGGATACTGACCGTATCCTGAAATAACAACAATGGTGGGTCAACCCCACGAGCAAGTCCTCTCTACTATGACCCAAATCAGAGAATCAAATAAATTAATCATTATGAATCGGATGAGTACTATATCTGTATACATCCTACGGGAACTATCCGATGTATAACATGACCTCAACCAGAATAGACGGTGATCACTTAGACTCACACTAGGTGGTCAAGTGTCGCCTTTCCCTACCCGGGAAATCAGCTATTATACATGGTGTACGGTACTGACAACGCAGACTATAACGAACTACACAGTGATAACACCTCGCAAAGTACTGATGAATATACTGAGCATATAAATTAGGCAACACATGCCAACAATATTAATAAATGTACCGAGAATGTCAATTTAGGCAACACATGCCAATAATATTAATAAATATACCGAGTATGTCAATTAGGCAACACATGCCAATAATATTAAACCACATACCCCGACAGCCACACATCTGTCTATCGCAACGAATGCATAAGGTATAAATGAGTCTAAACTTATTAGCCAGCTCATATGGTTCTATATGGCAACACATCCATATAATATAAATGCGACATAATTAAACAGTCCATTTATTTCCTGAAATGCACACAGCATAATAATCATGGTTTATATATCAATTAACAGTATAAACATCCTATAAGATATCATGGATAATTTATCTGATTAAAACCATGGCCTTATTTAATTTAACAGTAATGTTTGATACCATTAAATACGATAATAACACTATTTATATTTAACAATGTCGTTAAATAAATCACATTAGTATCCGTACTGCGAACGAGCCAATAAATGCTTAGAAAAGATTAATCAGCCATAAGAATAAGTAACGGGTGTTAAAATAATAATTTCATGGCCCGTTAACCCGTAATTACCAACACAGTACCTAAAAATCCAAGTTTAAGGTTCTGGAATTTACAAAACAGGCCCTAAGGGTATTCTGGTAATTTCCAGCAGCTGTAGGGACCCCACACGCGCCCTCACGCGCCTCCCAGAGCCTCCCCACGCGCAGCCCAACCTTCCCCACTCTCCCACGCGCCTCCACGCGCGTCTGGCATCAGCCACGCGCTCCCACGCGCGCGCACGCGCTGCCACGCGCGCACTAAGGGTGCCTTGCTGACGTGTCACTTCCTGGTTGGTTGGCTGCATCCGGATTCCGTACTCGCGTCACACCGGATCATCTCACCCTATCTTCCCTCCATCCAACGCCCACAGATCCGGGTGTACCGCGGTATCATGGACCGCGATGCACCGGATCAATCAGACTCCACTAATGGCCAGGATGCGCGCGTACACCCTCCTATGGTGTGCCGCGTCGCACCGGATCACTCCGGTCGTCTCCCCCACTGCCGGCGACCGGAAAACTCGCCGGAAGGTCGCCGGAAATTGCAGAAAATGCCCGGAAAAATCTAGAAAATTCTAGAAAAATCCCTAAAGTCGTATTTAATTATTTTTAGCCATTATTAATTTCATAGGACATTAAATAAATATATACCATCCTATATAATTAAAATTCCATTAATTTAATAAAATAAAATTAATAATTTATTAACCTCCAAACCTTGGCTCTATGCATAAAAATAAGCTAAACAATTAATTTATTAATTCAAAGGGGAAAAGTAGATAATAACTTGCCTTTTTGGATTTAAAATAAATCCGCCGGTCTGCGCGTAGTCGGGTAAAATTGCCTACACCGGTCCAAGCTTCTTTCTCTTTCTCTTTTCCTTTCACTCTTATAAAATAGCTCTCTAGAATTTATACTTTGCTTCTAACTCCCTTTTATTTTTTTTCTAAGGCAAGCTAGTTAATTTATACACAAAATATATAATATAAATATTACAAATATCTAATTTATAATAACTTCTCACCCATTTCTCATATTCCTACCTATATGGCTTTAAGACAATGCTATCTTTAATCAAGATATTTGATCCACCATTCTACCATAGTAAATGAAATTCTATCCTAGTATTTAATTTTCCATCATTACATTGATTTATTATAACTATTATTATTATTAATAAACTTTTATTATTATATGATTATTATATTATTATTTTTTTTATTATTATTATTAAACTAATATAATTATTATTATTACAAAAGAATACATTATAACATCATAATACTATATAACACAAATATAATACTTTAATTAGCTAATAATGATTAATATAAGCATAACCAACAAATAAAATTATTATTAATAATACATGCATAATTAAATGAATAAATTTACTATTTTAACATACACAATTACTTTACATGCACAATTAAATGAACATAATATAATAATGTAGTATGCACAAATAAATAAAATAAATTAACCTAACACAAAATTAATTTAAATACATTCTTTAAAATTACGGGGTATTACATTCTCCCCCCCTAATAAAGGAATTTCGTCCCCGAAATTCACTACATACCTGTAGTAAAAAGTTCTGGATACTTGGCACGGATAATATCTTCCCGTTCCCAAGTAGACTCTGTAGCACTATGATGACTCCACTGTACACGTACTAATGGAATAGTCTTCGTGCGCAGTATCTGATTCCTACGATCGAGAATACAGTAAGGTTGTTCCAAATAGGTTGCATCGGGTTGCAACTCAATCTCACCCACATCAATGTGTTGGTATCGATCTTCATCCCGTAGAAATTTTCGCAGCATAGATACATGAAAAACATTATGTACCCTATGAAGATTATCTGGTAGAGCCAGACGATAAGCTACTGCCCCAATCCGATCTGTAATCATAAAAGGACCCACAAAACGAGGCGATAACTTACCCTTTGACCCAAACCGCATTACTCCCTTCATAGGAGAAACCTTAAGCAAAACCTGATCACCAACCTTAAACT